GTTGAAGCCGCGAGGGGCGCGGACGGCGGCGGCTGGCGAGGCTGCAGCGGTGCTGGCGGGGAGGCGGCGTCGAGGCCGCTGGAGGGGAAGGCGCGGGCGGCGGCTGGCGAGCCGCGGCGGCTGGCGCGGAGGCGGCGACGAGGCCGCGGAGAGGCGCGGGCGGCGGCTGGCAAGGCCGCGGCGGCTGGCGCGGAGGCGGCGACGAGGCCGCGGAGAGGCGCGGGCGGCGGCTGGCGAGGCCGCGGCGGCTGGCACGGAGGCGGCGACGAGGCCGGGGAGAGGCGCGGGCGGCGGCGGTTGGCGAAGCCGCGGCAGTGCCGGCGCGGAAGCAGCGACGAGGCCGCGGAGGGAGCGGCGCGAGCTGCGGCGCTGGCGAGGCCGCGGCAGTGCAGGCGCGGAAGCGGCGACAGGCCGCAGGAGGGAGCGGCGCGAGCGGCGGCGGCTGGCGAAGCCGCGGCAGTGCAGGCGCGGAAGCGGCGACGGGGTCGCGGGAGGGAGCGGCGCGAGCGGCGGCGGCTGGCGAAGCCGCGGGAGTGCTGGCGCGGAAGCGACGACGGGGTCGCGGGAGGGAGCGGCGCGAGCGGCGGCGGCTGGCGAAGCCGCGGCAGTGCAGGCGCGGAGGAGGCGTTGAGGCCGCGGAAGGGAGCGGCGGCGGCGACGGCGGCCTCAGTGGCGTTGACGCGGAGGCGGCGTCGAAGCCGCGGGATGGGACGGGCGGTGGCGGTCGGCGGGACCGCGACAAGGCGAGCGCGGAAGCGGCGGTGGGGCCGCGAGCCGTGATGGCGTGGGAGGCCGTGGGGCTGCGAGGAAGGGAGTGCTTGAGGAGAGGGGGAGGGTGGCGAGATAGCCGCGGAGAAATGAGAAAGGAGGCCGGGGGTTGCGGCGGCCTTTGAAAAACTAGGAGTGTAGGCCTAGGATTTTTTTAAGAGCTCTATACCATGTGAGAAGAAAAGTTAGAAGAGAAGTTGATGGATTGATTGAAAGGATGGGGGGTTTACATAGGAGATGAGTTGGAAACTAGCCTAGGTGAACATTATTGGACCCCAACCAAGGAGTTGGGTTGGGAGATTATTGGTGGGGTCCAATAATGTTGGCCAAGTTGGAGTTGGGCCAACATTATTGGAGGGGACCAATAATTCTACCCATCCCAACCCTTGGGGTCCAATAATTGGACCAAGGTTGGGTTTCCAACCTACAAATTGGGTAACCCCTGCTTGTACACCCAAACTAAGTTTGGGTGCTTATCTCTAGCCTATCCTATAGCATATATGCAGGTTACAAGAGAGGAGATATTCTAACAGGCCCTTTAGGAGGAGGAAGCGAGGGGGAAGGAGGGCGGGATGGCCCTTAAGGAGGAGGAAACGAGGGGGAAGGAGGGCGGGATGGCCCTTAGGAGGAGGAAGCGAGGGGGAAGGAGGGGGGGATGGCCCTTAGGAGGAGGAAGCGAGGGGGAAGGAGGGCGGGATGGCCCTTAAGAGGAGGAATCGAGGGGGGGAAGGAGGGCGGGATGGCCCTTAGGAGGTGGAAGCGAGGGGGAAGGAGGGCGGGATGGGCGTTTAAGGAGGAGGAAACGAGGGGGGAGGAGGGCGGGATGGCCCTTAGGAGGAGGAAGCGAGGGGGAAGGAGGGCGGGATGGCCCTTAAGAGGAGGAAACGAGGGGGGAGGAGGGCGGGATGGCCCTTAAGGAGGAAGAAGCGAGGGGGAAGGAGGGCGGGATGGCCTTTAAGAGGAGGAAACGAGGGGGGGGAAAGGAGGGCGGGATGGCCCTTAGGAGGAGGAAGCGAGGGGGGAGGAGGGCGGGATGGCCCTGAGGAGGAGGAAGCGAGGGGGAAGGAGGGCGGGATGGCCCTTAGGAGGAGGAAGCGTGGGGGAAGGAGGGCGGGATGGCCCTTAGGAGGTGGAAGCGAGGGGGAAGGAGGGCGGGATGGCCCTTAGGAGGAGGAATCGAGGGGGGAAGGAGGCGGGATGGCCCTTAAGGAGGAGGAAACGAGGGGGAGGAGGGCGGGATGGCCCTTTAGGAGGAGGAAGCGAGGGGGAAGGAGGGCGGGATGGCCCTGAGGAGGAGGAAGCGAGGGGGAAGGAGGGCGGGATGGCCCTTAGGAGGAGGAAGCGAGGGGGAAGGAGGGCGGGATGGCCCTTTGGAGGAGGAAGCGAGGGGGAAGGAGGGCGGGATGGCCCTTAAGGAGGAGGAAACGGGGGGGGAGGAGGGCGGGATGGCCCTTAAGGAGGAGGAAGCGAGGGAGAAGGAGGGCGGGATGGCCTTAGGAGGATGAAGCGAGGGGGAAAGGGGGCGGGATAGCCCATAGGAGGAGGAAGCGAGGGGGAAGGAGGGCGGGATGGCCCTTAAGGTGGAGGAAACGAGGGGAAAGGAGGGCAGGATGGCGAGGCGACGAGGCGCCGGAGCGGGGCGCCGGTAGGCGGGAGGGGGGAGGCGACGGGAGCGGGGCGCCGTTAGGCGCGAGGGCGGAGGCGACGGGAGCGGGGCGCCGTTAGGCGCGAGGGCGGAGGCGACGGGAGCGGGGCGCCGTTAGGCGCGAGGGCGGAGGCGACGGGAGCGGGGCGCCGTTAGGCGCGAGGGCGGAGGCGACGGGAGCGGGGCGCCGTTAGGCGCGAGGGCGGAGGCGACGGGAGCGGGGCGCCGTTAGGCGCGAGGGCGGAGGCGACGGGAGCGGGGCGCCGTTAGGCGCGAGGGCGGAGGCGACGGGAGCGGGGCGCCGTTAGGCGCGAGGGCGGAGGCGACGGGAGCGGGGCGCCGTTAGGCGCGAGGGCGGAGGCGACGGGAGCGGGGCGCCGTTAGGCGCGAGGGCGGAGGCGACGGGAGCGGGGCGCCGTTAGGCGCGAGGGCGGAGGCGACGGGAGCGGGGCGCCGTTAGGCGCGAGGGCGGAGGCGACGGGAGCGGGGCGCCGTTAGGCGCGAGGGCGGAGGCGACGGGAGCGGGGCGCCGTTAGGCGCGAGGGCGGAGGCGACGGGAGCGGGGCGCCGTTAGGCGCGAGGGCGGAGGCGACGGGAGCGGGGCGCCGTTAGGCGCGAGGGCGGAGGCGACGGGAGCGGCTGTAGCGATGCGGCGGACGGAGGGTGCCGAAATCGCCGTAAAATTGAGTCCGCGCGGCTGCTGGTCGCGACGGCCTCGATGGTCGTGATTTGGCGGACAGCACCGAAACCGCCGCGAAATCGCGTGGAAGGACACGCAGGACACATGGTCCTAGGATCGTGAGGGGCGTGAGCCAAAATGCTCTGACACCATGTTAGAATTCTGTGAAGGATGACTTGAGAACTGAAAGAAGTTGATGATTGATTGAGGAGGATGGGGGTATACATAGGAAGTGGGTTGGATACTAGCCTAGGTGAGCATTATTGGACCCCAACCAAGAAGTTGGGTTGGGAGATTATTGGTGGGGTCCAATAATGTTGGCCAAGTTGGAGTTGGGCCAACATTATTGGAGGGGACCAATAATTCTACCCAACCCAACCTTTTGGGGTCCAATAATTGGACCAAGGTTGGGTTCCAACCTACAAACTGGGTTACTCCTGTTTGTACACCCAAACTAAGTTTGGGTGCTTAACTCTAGACAAGCGAACTAGCATATGCAGGATGAATAGAATAGAGGTTTTCTAACATTCCCCTCCCTCCAGACCTCCCTCCAATCCTCCCTTCCTCCCTTCCTCCTTCCCTCCCGCGCCCTCCCTCCCTCGCTCCCTCCCTCCCTCGCTCCCTCCCTCCCTCGCTCCCCCCCTCCCTCCTTCCTCCCTCCCTCCCTTCCTCCCTCCTCCCTCCCTCCCTCCCTCCCTCCCTCCCTCCCTCCCTCCCTCCTCCCTCCCTCCCTCCCTCCCTCCCTCCCTCCCTCCCTCCCTCCCTCCCTCCCTCCCTCCCTCCCTCCCGACCCCCTCCCTCCCTCCCTCCCCCCTCCCTCCCTCCCTCCCCCCCTCCCTCCCTCCCTCCCTCCCTCCCTCCCTCCCTCCCTCCCTCCCTCCGACCCCCTCCCTCCCTCCGACCCCCTCCCTCCCTCCGACCCCCCTCCCTCCCTCCGACCCCCTCCCTCCCTCCGACCCCCTCCCTCCCTCCGACCCCTCCCTCCCTCCGACCCCTCCCTCCCTCCGACCCTACCTCCCTCCCTGACGTCCCTCCCTCCGACCCCCTCCCTCCCTTCGACCCTACCTCCTTGCGTCCCTCACTCCCTGCCTCCTCCCTCATCGTGTCAGAATCCCAGCCACTAACCACTGGGATAAAAGAGCTTGTTTGTGTAGCGGGTGAGTGCGCCCATAACCCCCCAGGCCAACGTGCCTGTAACCCTTCCCTAGGATCAATCGGGGATCACCAGTGGACCTCTGACACCCTCCCGCACTGGGATGCCCGAGGTGCACACACCGGGATTCGAACCCGAGACCTTCGCTCTGATACCATGTCAGAATCCCAGCCACTAACCACTGGGATAAAAGGGCTTGTTTGTGTAGCGGGTGAGTGCGCCCATAACCCCCCAGGCCAACGTGCCTGTAACCCTTCCCTAGGATCAATCGGGGATCACCAGTGGACCTCTGACACATCGCCCCCCCTGAGCGATTCCATCAGGTGATGGCCATCAAGGACATCATTCCCCCTCCAGCGCGCATCACATTCAATGACGTGTACATCAGTGTACGAGCTCATGGACACTCGTTCCTCTCTGCCTCTTTCTCTAACTCCCTTCCACTCCACACCAGGTGGTGGCCATCAGGGACATCATCCCTCCTCCAGCGCGAGACACCTTCAAGGACGTTTAAATCGTGTATGAGCTCATGGACACGGTCCTTCTGCTCTCCATGACTCCCCTTTCCTTCCTTCCTCCCATTGCCCCCCCCATGCATGATGCTTCCTCACCAGGTGGTGGCCATAAGGGACATCATCCCTCCGCCTGCGCGCAACACATTCAACGATGTGTACATCGTGTACGAGCTCAGCTCATGGACACATGGTCCCCTTGCCCCTTCCTCTCGCTCTGTAACACACTCCATTCCACATCAGGTGGTGGCCATCAGGGACATCATCCCCCCGCCTGAGCGGGACACCTTCAACGACGTGTACATCGTGTATGAGCTCATGGACACGGACCTGCACCAGATCATCCGGTCCAACCAGCAGCTCACGGAAGACCATTGCCAGGTGGATCATCCACAGTGGTTGCATTGCATGTGTGTGCTGAAGTGTGTACATGACTAGTGTATGAGCTCATGGACACGGACCTACATCAGATCATCCGCTCTAACCAGCAGCTTACAGAAGATCACTGCCAGGTATGAGCGTGATGCGGTGGAGAGTGCACGAAGGTATATATGTTGAAGTGAAGTGTGTACATTGTGTATGAGCTCATGGACAGGACCTGCATCAGATCATCCGCTCTAATCAGCAGCTTACTGAAGACCACTGCCAGGTATGCATGAATCATTTCAGCTCAATGTGTCGTCCATAGAGCAGTGTACATCGTGTATGAGCTCATGGACACGGACCTGCACCAGATCATTCGCTCCAACCAGCAACTGACCGAGGACCACTGCCAGGTATGAGGGTGGAGCATAATGTATATGTGCGTATGGTGAAGTGTGTACATGACTAGTGCGCTCATGGACACGGACCTGCACCAGATCATCCGCTCCAACCAGCAACTCACAGAAGATCACTGCCAGGTGAGAGGGTCAAGTGGACCAATGTGTATATGGTGGTGGTGAGGTGCTTATAACGAGTAGGTACAAGCTCATAGACACGGACCTGCATCAGATCATCCACTATCCACCTGCCCCTTGCATAGCCACCTGCCCAACCTTCCTCTGCCGCACCCACCCACTATCCCCTACAGTAATTCCTCTACCAGCTCCTCCGAGGGCTCAAGTACGTGCACAGCGCCAAGGTGCTTCACCATGACCTCAAGCCCTCCGCTATCCACCTGCCATCCCCTCGCATCCCCACCTGCCCCACCGTCCACCTTCACCTCCACTACTCTCATGTGTGCAGTACTTCCTCTACCAGCTGCTGAGGGGCCTCAAGTACGTGCACAGCGCCAAGGTGCTTCACCGCGACCTCAAGCCCTCGTCCCTGCTTATTCCCTTTCCACCCATCTCCACCCATCTCAACCCGCTTCTACCGCTATTGCCCCGCTGCAGTACTTCCTGTACCAGCTCCTGCGAGGCCTCAAGTACGTGCACAGCGCCAAGGTGCTTCACCGCGACCTCAAGCCCTCGTCCCTGCTTATTCCCTTTCCACCCATCTCCACCCATCTCAACCCGCTTCTACCGCTATTGCCCCGCTGCAGTACTTCCTGTACCAGCTCCTGCGAGGCCTCAAGTACGTGCACAGCGCCAAGGTGCTTCACCGCGACCTCAAGCCCTCGTCCCTGCTTATTCCCTTTCCACCCATCTCCACCCATCTCAACCCGCTTCTACCGCTATTGGCTGCAGTACTTCCTGTACCAGCTCCTGGAGGCCTCAAGTACGTGCAGGCCAAGGTGCTTCACCGTGACCTCAAGCCCTCCAACCTGCTGCTCAACGCCAACTGCGACCTCAAGATCTGCGACTTTGGGCTCGCCAGGTACGGTGTGTGGCAAAGGGTTAGGAGGAGTAGGGGGTGGGCAGGGGGTTAGGTGCTTCACCGTGACCTCAAGCCCTCCAACCTGCTGCTCAACGCCAACTGCGACCTCAAGATCTGCGACTTTGGGCTCGCCAGGTACGGTGTGTGGCAAAGGGTTAGGAGGAGTGGGGGTGGGCGGGGGTTAGGTGCTTCACCGTGACCTCAAGCCCTCCAACCTGCTGCTCAACGCCAACTGCGACCTCGAGATCTGCGACTTTGGGCTCGCCAGGTGAGTGGTGGGAGTGACATGAGGTGGAAGTGGGGCTGGGTGGGAGATGGTGGATGTGTTGTCACTCCCTAAAGCCCTCCAACCTGCTGCTCAACGCCAACTGCGACCTTAAGATCTGCGACTTTGGCCTTGCCAGGTGAGAAAAAGCCGTCCAGTGGTTCTTTCACTGACTCTGCTCTTACTCTACTCCCATCCCACCCAAACACCTGCATTCGATTTGAGCTGCCCCCAACCTGCTCATTCGCTTTGTTTTTCAACTTTCTTCATTTTTCTTACATTACTGTTACAGAGCGGCAGAGGAGAGCGACTACATGACAGAGTATGTGGTAACCAGATGGTGTGTATGTAACATCTTGCCTGCCATATTTACTTTCTCTTGTTCCCTTGTGTTCTAACCACAGATCGGCAGAGGAGAGTGACTACATGACAGAGTATGTGGTAACCAGATGGTACCGCGCTCCAGAGCTGCTGCTCAACAGCAAGGTGAGCGAGTGAGCAGCATGGTAGGACGGATTTCGTAGGGTTGTTAGACACTGAGGAGAGTCATTGCGTGACAGAGAAGATGTGGTAACCAGATGCTATCTGGTAGAAAGTACCGTGCTCCAGAGCTGCTGCTCAACAGCAAGGTGAGATGAGAGCGGGAATGGCTGAAACACCTTAGCACCGTGCGTGAGCAGTGTGAGGAGGAGAGTGACTACATGACAGAGTAAGTGGTAACCAGATGGTACCGCGCCCCAGAGCTGCTTCTCAACAGCAAGGTGAGCGAGCAAACACAGCTGGAACACCTTGGCAGGGTAAAGAGTGACCACGGCTGGAACACATCAGCAGGGTGAGTGAGGCTTTGCAGGCTCATTTTGTACCCTTGTGTGTTCTACTCCATACCCTCTGCGATATGCCCTTCACCCCATGCCCTCTAGCACATGCCCTCTAGCACATGCCCTCTAACACATGCCCTCTAGCACATGCCCTCTAGCACATGCCCTCTAGCACATGCCCTCTAGCACATGCCCTCTAGCACATGCCCTCTAACACATGCCCTCTAGTCCATGTTGAGAAGCGGTGTCACACAGGTGCTGAAGCACCTGTTGGTAGCCTTAACCACCTTTGAACCGCTTTCAACTCCTGTGTAACAATCATGAACCATTCCAACCTCCCTCCCCCTTCCCCCCACCACCCCTCCCCCCCTCAACCAGGCGTACACAGCAGCCTTCGACCTGTGGTCGGTGGGGTGCATCTTCATTTAGCCTGTTGGTAACTGGTACCACTTAAAACCGTTCTCAACCCCTCTACATCACTCTCAAACCCCATACTCACCTCCCCATGCGTACACAGCAGCCATCGACCTGTGGTCCGTGGGGTGCATCTTCATGGAGCTGCTGAATTGCCTGTTGGTAGTTGGTACCACTTACCACCGTTCTCAACCGCTCTCAACAACATTGAACTCCCCCCCACCAGGCGTACACAGCGGCCATCGACCTGTGGTCCGTGGGGTGCATCTTCATGGAGCTGCTGAATCGCCTGTTGGTAGTTGGTACCACGTAGAACCGTTCTTAACCGCATTCAATACCTCCTCTCCCTCCCACCACCAGGCGTACACAGCAGCCATCGACCCGTGGTCCGTGGGGTGCATCTTCATGGAGCTGCTGAATTACTTGTTGGTAACTGGTACCACTTACCACCGTTCTCAACCGCTCTCAACCACGTTGAACTCCCCCCCACCAGGCGTACACAGCAGCCATCGACCTGTGGTCCGTGGGGTGCATTTTCATGGAGCTGCTGAATCGCGAGCCGCTCTTCCCAGGCAAGGACTATGTGGACCAGCTGCGCCTCATCACCTCGGTAAGTGGTGTAGGCTAGGGTCCTGGGGCCTCTTGCTTGCATCCCCTCCCCTACCATGCTGAATCGCGAGCCGCTCTTCCCCGGCAAGGACTACGTGGACCAGCTGCGCCCCATCACCTCTGTGAGTGGCCTGGGCAGTACAGGTCCTGCTAGGCGCCTCAGAACAGCTTAGAGCAGCCTCCTGCATCACCTCTCCTCCCCTGCATGCTGAATCGTGAGCCTCTGTTTCCCGGCAAGGACTATGTGGACCAGCTGCGCCTGATTACCTCTGTAAGTGGTTTAGGCTAGGGGGCTGGGGCTTGCATCCCCGCCCCTGCCATGCTGAATCGCGAGCCGTTGTTCCCCGGCAAGGACTATGTGGCACCTGCGCCTCATCACCTTGGTAAGTGGACTGGGTATCTGTGAGTCAACACCCTCCTTTCCACACGCCCTTTCCCACCCACTGATGATTTGGACAGTATCTCCTTTTCAGACATCTCATTTCTCGAGAGCGACAACAGGCACCGCTACGTGCGCTCGCTCCCCTTCGTGCGCGAGCAGCAAACAGCGTGCACCCTATTGCCCTCAATCCCCCCTTTCCCCCAAATCCCTCCCCCATTCTCCATCAACATCAACACTCCCCCCTCGGCCCTCTTTTTCCTCCTTTCCTTCCCTTCCCCTCCGCCCCCTTCCCCCTCAACCCTTCAGATCATTGGTTCTCCAGACGATTCAGACATCTCATTCCTTGAGAGCGACAACGCACGTCGCTACGTGCGTTCCCTCCTCTGACCACACCCTTCCTACTTATGGCCATATCATTCCCCTTCCCCCTTCACCCGTTCAGATCATTGGTTCTCCAGACGATTCAGACATCTCATTCCTTGAGAGCGACAACGCACGTCGCTACGTGCGTTCCCTCCTCTGACCACACCCTTCCTACTTATGGCCATATCATTCCCCTTCCCCCTTCACCCGTTCAGATCATTGGTTCTCCAGACGATTCAGACATCTCATTCCTCGAGAGCGACAACGCGCGCCGCTATGTGCGCTCGCTGCCCTTCCTGATTACGCCCACATTCCCCCCCACGACCCCCTCTCCCTCTCTCCAGATCATTGGTTCTCCAGACGATTCAGACATCTCATTCCTCGAGAGTGACAACGCGCGTCGCTACGTGCGCTCCCTCCCATTTGTTCGCAAGCAGCCTCTCGCCGCGCGCTTCCCCAACATGGCGCCCCTCGCCTTGGACCTCATGGAGAGGATGCTGCTCTTCGACCCTGCCAAGCGCATCACAGGTGAGCAGTGTTTGCATGTGTGCTGTGCTGTGCTGTGCTGTATGGGTGGCTGAGTGTGTATGTATAGACCCTCTTGGGTATGTTGGCTCACTGCACTCCCCAACATGGCGCCCCTTGCCTTGGATGTCATGGAGAGGATGCTGCTGTTCGACCCTGCCAAGCGCATCACAGGTGAGCAGTGCGTGTGTGCTGTGCTGTGCTTTTTGGGTGGTTGAGTGTGTATGGATAGATCCTCTTGGGTATGTTGGCTCACTGCACTCCCCAACATGACACCCTTGCCCTGGACCTGATGGAGCAGATGCTGTTGTTCGACCCTGCCAAGCGCATCACAGGTGGGTGTGGTGACAAAATGTGCTGGAAGGGAATGGCAGTGAGCGCATCACAGGTGGGTGTATGGGCGTCCGCTGGGTGTGGATATGGCTAATCACAGCACTTGCCCCAGCATGGCGCCCCTGGCCTTGGACCTGATGGAACGGATGCTGCTCTTCGACCCCGCCAAGCGCATGACATGGGTCAGCATGTGCAGTATGGGAACGAGAATGGGAATAGAAAAGGGAGTGGGAGTATGAGACTGAGTGTGCGCCCCCTCCCCGTGGTGGGCGCAAGCAGCCCCTCGCCTCGCGCTTCCCCAACATGGCGCCCCTCACAGTGGACCTCATGGAACTAATGCTGCTCTTTGATCCCGCCAAGCGCATTACTGGTGAGAGTGGTTGGCTGGAAAATGGGTTTAAGGCATGCTGAGTGGGAGCATGAGTTCGAGTGTGAGTATGCAGTCCCTCTCCTTCGTGCGCAAGCAGCCCCTTGACGTGGACCTCATGGAACGAATGCTGCTCTTCGACCCTGCCAAACACATCACTGGTGGGTCAAGATGTGTTGTCTGAGAATGAGAATAGGAATGGATGGAGAATGGAAGTCTGAGCGTGCGCTCCCTTCCCTTCATTCGCAAGCAGCCCCTCGCCTCCCGCTTCCCCAACATGGCTCCTCTCGCCTCGGTTCTCATGGAGAGGATACTCCTCTTTGACCCCGCCAAGCGCATCGCAGGTGGATCCACATGTGCTTTACAGGAATTGACCAAAGCATGGGGCAGTTTAGACCATTGCTTTTACTCTCCTTCCCGATTTCCCCCTTCTCTCCCATTCACCTCCAGTCGAGGAAAGTCTCGACCATCCGTATCTCGCAAGCCTGCACGACATCAGTGATGAGCCGGTGTGCCATGCGCCGTTCACGTTTGACTTTGAGCACCCGGTGCTGCCAGAAGAGACCATCAAGGACTTGATATGGGCCGAAGCCAGGTCCCGCGACTTCTGAAAGGGGACGAGGGAAGGGGAGGGGAGGGGGAGGGAAGGGGGAGGAAAAACTTCTACACCACCCGTACGTGGCAATGAGCCGGTGTTCCATGCGCCGTTCACGTTTGACTTTGAGCACCCGGTGCTGCCAGAAGAGACCATCAAGGACTTGATATGGGCCGAAGCCAGGTTCCTCAATCGCGACTTTTAAGGGGTGGGAAGTGATGGGGTCATGGGAACGGGGATGTACTGTGAATGTGCCACTTGAGGGATGACACCTTGTACGGTAATGTTATGAACTCCCTACCCTATTTTTATTTTGGGGGGGATCGAGGTTTTTTTTTTAGGTGAAATCACTAGATCGTGACTTCTGAAGGGGCACTTGACAGGCGTTTAGAAAAAAGTAGGGGTGCAACAATTTTAGCAACGTACTGTAATTTTGTAAATTAGAAGGCTGCTTGTAAATCAGATTACGCTATGAATTTGCGAACAAGCTAGCAGCGTATCTCCTAATATCAAGGACCGTAATTCGTCCTCTAGTACCTTTCATCTGCTGATGTCAGGACGTTTCCTCCGTCAGATGTAAGTTCGAATTTACTCAACGGTCGAGATTGCGCAAGGCTGGTTGGCTGGTTGGCGAAACCGCAGCCTTTCACTGGAAAGCCCAGTTCTGTCGGTCGAACCGCAACGGTCCCTCCATTCCAGCCGGCAGCGACGCGAGCAAGGTCTAGGCGACTGTAACTCGAACAGCCTGTCTAGCGTTGTCGGGCTCAGCAGCACTGTTAGGGTTAACGGTTGCCTGTTAGTCCTGGTAATTTCTGTATGACGTCCGTCATGAATACGTCGGCATTGATGCCGCTCCTACCGATGGCAATCACTCTTTGCAGTTACGCTAGACCGTTAATTCTACCCGTCGCTTCATGAACGTCATCGGGCTTTCAACTACGACGGCACTTGGATTGCCCAAACGAGCCATTTGTCCTAGGGATGTTAGCCGTACCTCACTCACGCTAGCCTTCCAATGCTTGAAGCGGCCATACTGAGAGGCCCTCTATACCTCGATTCATGAACGTCGTCGGGGTCTCGTGACGTGGTTGGTACAGCCAACCGCTTTAGCTTTGTCCGTACCGTAAGCACAGAGCGACACTCGGTGCCGCGTTACTTGGCAGCGGAATAGACGGTTAACACGAACAGTCTGCTTGAGACGTGAAGCGTTGAGCCGACTCAAAAAACACGTCACGCGGGTTGACACGAACGGTAGATGCTTGAACGGGACACTCCTTGAGATTCGCTAAGAACGCTCGTCAAGTTTCGCTCGTGCAACGGCTCCTATGGCCGCCGTCGGATCTAACGGAGGCAGTACGGGACTGATCGCCACCTTTAATGACCTAGGAAGTCATAAAGTGAGCAATGGCAACGCAGTAGGCGCCAATGGTGGAACACAGAGGGGAGACGGAGCAGCAGCGGTGGCAGCGGCGGCGGCAGTATCCGCAGCAGAGGATTCGGGAGCAGTGGGAAATGAAGGAACCAATGAAGCAATGACACGTGGCTCAGGGGCAAGAAACGGAGGACAAGCAGAGAGTGAGGGAGCAGCAGCAATTGGAGGAACGAATGGAGCAGCAGCGACAGGTGGCGCACCGCGATTGGCTCTCTCGGCTCGAGACTTTACATACGGGAGACTCCTGGGTCTAGGCTCCTACTCCAAGGTAAGGCCCTTCCATCCTCTTTGTAAGCCTCTTCTTTTGAGGCGCCTCAAAAACCACGATTGACTCTCTCGGCTCGGGACTTCACATACTTGCGGCTCTTGGGTCTTGGCTCCTATTCCAGAGTAAGGCCCTTTCGTCCTCGTTGTTAGACTCTTTGTTTTGGAAACAAGACCCTCGCATCCAAGAGACCCCATCGTGAGGTTCACTTCACATGAACCTATCATCACGCCCCCCGGGCCACTCACGTGGAAGATCTACACGACGTCGAAACAGAAACTGGGTCGCTTCTGAGAATTCTCAAAAGTGGTTTCCAGAAGACACATGAACCCATCATCACCGCCCCCCACATGGCCAGACCCCTCACATGAAAGTGCTACACACATGTTGAAAGAGAAACTGAAAGATTAACGTCAATAGAATCTTGAGCTGGTGAATAATATCTAATCAGAAGTAAAGCATCGCAATAAGAGGTTCAAAAGAATTCTGAACCTCCACACTCTACTGCAATTTCGCCTTCCGTTTTCCCATATTCCCGCCCGGCCCTGCCTGCCAGGTTGTGCTGGCTCGACGCAAGCCAAGCAAGGCTGCTTATAACGAGGACGAGGGGTGTCCGCCTGGCTCCGAGTGCGCACTGAAGATAATGGACAAGAGGCACATAGTGAAGGAGCGGAAGGTGGCATACATCAAAATGGAGCGCCTCATTCTCGATCGGCTGAGGCACCCGGGGATTGTATGCCTGCTCTTCACCTTCCAAGACGAGCACTTCCTCTGTGAGATTTGTTCGCTTGGGCTTTAGGGTGGGGAACTCTCCATGCGCTCTGTTTCTGGGCTTCTAGGAAGCTAGAATTCTTTATGTGAGGCTGCTTATATAGAGGATTAGGGGGCTGTCCGCCTGGCTCTGAGTGTGCCCTAAATATAATGGACAAGCGGCACATAGTGAGGGAGAGGAAGGTGGCATACATAAAAATGGAGCACCTCATTCTTACAGGGAGGCTGTTCATGACGAGTGTCTTTTGAAGGCGGTGGAGGAGTGACACATAGTGAGGGGGAGGAAGGTGCCATGCGTCACGATGGGCACCCACCCGGGGTCGTGTGCCTGCACTTCGGTTTCCAAGACCACCACTTCCTCTGTGAGACCTGGATTCTTGGGCTTTAAGAACCCACTGCCTCTGCGAAACCTGGTCGATTGGTCTTTAGGCTGGTCAGTTCCCTGTGTACGCTCTGCTTCTGAGCTCTGCTTCTGTGTTGACTTTTGAGTCGACTCAAAAGTCAACCCTGTGTACGCTCTGCGTCTGAGCTCTGCTTCTGTGTTGACTTTTGAGTCGACTCAAAAGTCAACCCTGTGTACGCCCTGCGTCTGAGCTCTGCTTCTGTGTCGATCATACTTCCCTTCTTTCCCTCCCTCCCTCTACCCCTCTGACCCACCAACCACAGACATGGGCCTGGAGTGCTGTCACGGGGGAGAGCTCTTTGACCAGATCAGACTGGTACGGCCTTCAGCGTCTTCTCCTCCATGCTTTGCCTTTCGCCTCTTCGCCCTTTCGCCTCTTCGCCCTTTCGCCTCTTCTCCCTTTCGCCTCTTCTCCCTTTGTCCTCTTCTCCCTTTCGCCTCTTCTCCCTTTCGCCTCTTCTCCCTTTCGCCTCTTCTCCCTTTCGCCTCTTCTCCCTTTCGCCTCTTCTCCCTTCGCCTCTTCTCCCTTCGCCTCTTCTCCCTTCGCCTCTTCTCCCTTTTTCGCCTCTTTTCCCTTCGCCTCTTCTCCCTTTCGCCTCTTCTCCCTTTCGCCTCTTCGCCCTTTCGCCTCTTCTCCCTTTCGCCTCTTCTCCCTTTCGCCTCTTCTCCCTTCGCCTCTTCTCCCTTTCGCCTCTTCTCCCTTTCGCCTCTTCTCCCTTTCGCCTCTTCTCCCTTTCGCCTCTTCTCCCTTTCGCCTCTTCTCCCTTTCGCCTCTTCTCACTTTCGCCTCTTCTCCCTTTCGCCTCTTCTCCCTTTCGCCTCTTCTCCCTTTCGCCTCTTCTCCCTTTCGCCTCTTCTCCCTTCGCCTCTTCTCCCTTTTTCGCCTCGTTTCCCTTCTCCTCTTCTCCCTTCGCCTCTTCTCCCCTTTTCGCCTCTTCTCCCTTCCCCTCTTTTCCCGTCGCCCCTTACCCCATGGTATTCCATGTGAGTGAGTCACCCCTCTCCTCATCTTTACTCTTCCTCTGCGTTCCTCCGCATTCGCTCTTTTCTACTCTAAACAAAAGGGCTGTCTATGCCTGTTTGATACCTCATGGCTTTTTGACTCTAGATTCATCTCATTCTAGTCTATTCAGGAAGGTTGTCCGTGCCTGTGGGAAACCTCTTACCTCTCAGTCACTGCTCCCTTTCCTCCTTTGTACCGCAATGTACTCCTCTCCTCTCTAACCCTCTAGAATGCTCTGTACTCCTCTGTACTCCTCTGTCTGTACTCCTCTTGCATGTTCAGAAGGGCAAGCTATCAGAGGATGAAGCTCGGTTTTATGCAGCAGAGGTGGTGTGTGCACTGGAGTACATGCACTCGCAAGGAGTAGTGCACAGAGATCTTAAGGTGAGCCATGGTGATGCTTATAACGAGTACGAGTTGAATGGATGTGTGTGCACTGGAATTCATGCTTTCTCCCCGCTCCCCTCCCTCCTATCCTCACACAGCCTGAGAACATTCTCCTCACTGCATCGGGTCACGTGCGCATCTCCATCCCTTCCCTCCCTTTCTTCCTTACTCCTGCCTCCCCATTCGCCTCACTCCCCCTCCCGCTCCACACAGCCGGAGAACATCCTTCTCACAGCAGCGGGCCACGTGCGCATCTCCCACTTTGGCTGTCTGTGTCCCTTCCCTCCCTTTCTCCTTTCCCCTATCCCTTCCCGCTCCCCCCTTCCCCCCCATTCTCCCCCCTCCCCATCTCTCCCTTAATAGCCGGAGAACATTCTCCTCACAGCAGCGGGTCACGTGCGCATCCTACTTTGGCTGTGTCCCTTCCCTCCTTTTCTCACTTTCCCTACGCCCTTCTCCCCATTCTCCCCACTCCTCTCCTCCGCATTTACAGCCAGAGAACATTCTCCTCACAGCAGCTGGTCACGTGCGCATCTCCGACTTTGGCTGCATCCCTGCCTCCCTTACCCTATCCCTTCTCCCGCACATTCTCCCACCTCTGCTTCCTCTTTACAGCCGGAGAACATTCTCCTCACAGCATCGGGTCACGTGCGCATCCTACTTTGGCTGTGTCCCTTCCCTCCTTTTCTCACTTTCCCTACGCCCTTCTCCCCATTCTCCCCATTCCTCCCCTCCCCATTTACAGCCGGAGAACATTCTCCTCACAGCATCGGGTCACGTGCGCATCTCCGACGTTCCCTAAACCCTTCTCCCCGCACCCCATCCCCTTCCCCATCCCTCCGTCTGACCCCTTGACCCGTTCCCCCACACAGCCAGAGAATATTCTCCTCACAGCATCGGGCCACGTGCGCATCTCCGACTTCGGCTGTGCCAAGCTGCTCAGCAACGGCCAATCAGCTGGGGCCACGTCAGCAGTAGATGCCACTGCTGCTGCTATTAACAACGGTGGGTTTTGGACAGCCTGTCACATCCCCTCCCTTGCGCCCTCCCCCTCCTCACCCTCCTTCACTTCCTCCCTCCTCGCCTCCTCATTTCCTCCTTATGGGCCCAGCACAGCAGAGCACGTCCTTTTGGACAGCCTGTCACATCCCCTCCCTTGCGCCCTCCCCCTCCTCTCACTCCTCCACTTCCTTCCTCCTCCTCTTCCTCCCTCCTCGCCTCCTCATTTCCTCCTTATGGGCTCAGCACAGCAGAGCACGTCCCTTTTGAGCTGACTCACACAACCACTCACCCCCTTGCTATCCTCTTTCTTTTCTCTTCCTGCTTCCTCCCCTCTCCTCCCTCCACCACAGATGAGCGCAGTCGGTCGTTTGTGGGCACAGCAGAATACGTCCCTCCGGAGCTGACTCACACATCCGTTCACTCCTCTCACTGCCACTTTCGGTGCCACAGTTCTTCGCTCCCCCTGCTGCCAGTTTCTCTCTCCCTCCATCCTGAATCCACAGATGAGCGCAGAGTATCACCTACTCACGTACAGCAGAGTACGTCGCTCTAATCCTGATTTTCAACCACTTACTCCTCCCGCTGCCTCATGCTGTCGTAGCCTGCTCCCTCTCTCCTCCTCCCCCTCCGCTACAGATGAGCGCAGTGGCTCGTTTGTGGGCACAGCAGAGTACGTCCCTCCGGGGCTGATTCACAACCGTGCACGCCTCCCACTGCCGCTGCCCATGCCTCTTTTCTCACTCTCTTCCTGCTGCCCTTTCCCTCTTCCCACCCTGAAACCACAGATGAGCGCAGCGGGTCGTTCATGGGCACAGCAGAGTACGTGCCTCCGGAGCTGAATCGCAGTCAGTCACTCCTTTCCCTGACACGAGCTGCCCATTCCTTCCCTCTCTCCCCCCGCCACCACAGATGAGCGCAGCGGGTCGTTTGTGGGCACAGCAGAGTACGTCCCTCCAGATCTCCTTCACAATCACTCCTTTCACTGACTCGTGCTGCCCTTTCCTTCCCTCTCTCCTCCCCCCTACCACAGATGAGCGCAGTGGGTCGTTCGTGGGCACAGCAGAGTACGTCCCTCCGGAGCTGCTGGACGATGGGCCCGTGTCCTTTGAGTGAGTTGCACACATGTTCCCATGTGCTCATGTGCCGATGCACCCACGTGCCCATATGCTAGTGCATGTGTTACTGCACCTCGCCTCATCACAGCACAGCAGAGTGCGTCCCTCCGGAGCTGCTGGACGATGGGCCAGTGTCCTTTGAGTGAGCTCCTTTCACCTGTATGTAAGCGCATGTGTTTCTGCACCTCGCCTCATCACAGCACAGCAGAGTACGTCCCTCCAGAGCTACTCGACAATGGCCGTGTGTCCTTTGAGTGAGTTGCATACCTCCACTGCCTCCATAAATCCATGCACCCATGCACCCGTGCACCCATGCACCCATGCACCCATGCACCCATGCTCCCATGCACCCATGCACCCATGCACCCATGCACCCATGCACCCATGCACCCATGCACCCATGCACCCATGCCCTTCAAGAGAGCCAGCGAGTATCTATGCTTCTAAGCAAACCCCATTTCACTCCCCTCCACCCCTCTCCACCCCTCTCCACCCTGCTTCATCCCTCTCCACTCCTCATCCAGGGCCGACTTCTGGGCTGCATCATCTATCAGATGCTGGCGGGCGTGCTGCCCTTCGAGGGGGCCAGCGAGTATCTGTGCTTCCAGGCAAACCCCTCTTCACCCCTCTCCACCTCTCCCCACCCCTCTCCACCCCTCTTCACCCCTCTTCACCTCTCTCCACCCCAGAGCCGACCTGTGGGCGCTAGGCTGCATCGTCTATCAGATGCTGGCGGGTGTGCCACCTTTCAAGGGAGCCAGCGAGTACCTGTGCTTTCAGAAGATCCTCTCTCGGGACCTGACCGTCCCCAACCACTTCAGCAATGAAGCTCGCAGCCTCGTCAACTGCTTACTGGTATGTCAGGTTCTCGCTGGTGTTTACTGCGTATATCGAGTCCCCTTATCTGTGCTTTCAGAAGATCCTCTCTCGGGACCTGACCGTCCCCAACCACTTCAGCAATGAAGCTTGCAGCCTCGTCAACTGCTTACTGGTATGTCAGGTTCTCGCTGGTGTTGACTGCGTATATCGAGTCCCCTTATCTGTGCTTTCAGAAGATCCTCTCTCGGGACCTGGCCGTCCCCAACCACTTCAGCAATGAAGCTCGCAGCCTCGTCAACCGCTTACTGGTATGTCAGGTTCTCGCTGGTGTTTACTGCGTATATCGAGTCCCCTTATCTGTGCTTTCAGAAGATCCTCTCTCGGGACCTGACCGTCCCCAACCACTTCAGCAATGAAGCTCGCAGCCTCGTCAACCGCTTACTGGTATGTCAGGTTCTCGCTGGTGTTTACTGCGTATATCGAGTCCCCTTATCTGTGCTTTCAGAAGATCCTCTCTCGGGACCTGACCGTCCCCAACCACTTCAGCAATGAAGCTCGCAGCCTCGTCAACTGCTTACTGGTATGTCAGGTTCTCGCTGGTGTTTACTGCGTATATCGAGTCCCCTTATCTGTGCTTTCAGAAGATCCTCTCTCGGGACCTGACCGTCCCCAACCACTTCAGCAATGAAGCTCGCAGCCTCGTCAACTGCTTACTGGTATGTCAGGTTCTCGCTGGTGTTTACTGCGTATATCGAGTCCCCTTATCTGTGCTTTCAGAAGATCCTCTCTCGGGACCTGACCGTCCCCAACCACTTCAGCAATGAAGCTCGCAGCCTCGTCAACTGCTTACTGGTATGTCAGGTTCTCGCTGGTGTTTACTGCGTATATCGAGTCCCCTTATCTGTGCTTTCAGAAGATCCTTTCTCGGGACCTGACCGTCCCCAACCACTTCAGCAATGAAGCTCGCAGCCTCGTCAACCGCTTACTGGTATGTCAGGTTCTCGCTGGTGTTTACTGCGTATATCGAGTCCCCTTATCTGTGCTTTCAGAAGATCCTCTCTCGGGACCTGACCGTCCCCAACCACTTCAGCAATGAAGCTCGCAGCCTCGTCAACTGCTTACTGGTATGTCAGGTTCTCGCTGGTGTTTACTGCGTATATCGAGTCCCCTTATCTGTGCTTTCAGAAGATCCTCTCTCGGGACCTGACCGTCCCCAACCACTTCAGCAATGAAGCTCGCAGCCTCGTCAACTGCTTACTGGTATGTCAGGTTCTCGCTGGTGTTTACTGCGTATATCGAGTCCCCTTATCTGTGCTTTCAGAAGATCCTCTCTTGGGATCTCACCGTGCCCAACTTCTTCAGCAACGAAGCCCGCAGCCTTGTTAACTGCCTGCTGGTATGCACTAAATTCATTGGGTCGCTATTTATGAGGGAGCAAGCGAGTACCTGTGCTTCCAAAAGATCCTCTCTCGGGATCTCACTGTGCCCAACCACTTCAGCAACGAAGCTCGCAGCCTCGTCAACTGCTTGCTGGTGCGTATGCTACCAGATATATCGAGTTTCTCTATAGAGGGTTTCCCAGCAAGGGTCCCCTTGATACCTGTGCTTTCAGAAGATCCTCTCTCGGGATCTAACCGTGCCCAACCACTTCAGCAATGAAGCCCGCAGCCTTGTCAACTGCTTACTGGTGTGTATCTACTACACATATCTCCTTAGAGGGTTTCCCAGCGAAGTGTCTCTATCATTTCAGTACTTCAGAAGCTCCTTTCTTGGGATCTGACCATGCCCACCCACTTTAGCAACGAGGCCCGCAGCCCCGTCAACTGCCTGCTGGTGCCTACTACATGTATCGAGTTTCTCTTTAACGAGTCATGCAGCGAGTGTCTCCAGACTCTCTACTTTTCAAATATCAGACCCCCTCTCTCGCAATCTCACCGTGCCCAACCACTTCAGTAACAAACCCCGCAGCCTCGTTGACTGCCACTACTGATATGTCAGCTACTTACTGGTGCGCACTACATATATGAAGGTTCCTGCTAAATGAAATGGATCTCAAGAATCGCCTAGGGATCAGACACATGGGGGGCTATGCTCAGCTAGACGCCCATCCGTTCTTCTGAGGAATTCCCTGGGGAACCAAGCCGGAGGCACCTTGAGCAATAATGATTTCAAGAACTATCCCATGAGGCTTTTGAGCCTGGAATCAGGACTACAAATTCTCCTGGGTGGAACCAGACCTGGGTGGAACCAGACCTGGGTGGAACCAGACCTGGGTGGAACCAGACCTGGGTGGAACCAGACCTGGGTGGAACCAGACCTGGTTGGATCCAGACCTGGTTGGATCCAGACCTGGTTGGATCCAGACCTGGTTGGATCCAGACCTGGTTGGATCCAGACCTGGTTGGATCCAGACCTGGTTGGATCCAGACCTGGTTGGATCCAGACCTGGTTGGATCCAGACCTGGTTGGATCCAGACCTGGTTGGATCCAGACCTGGTTGGATCCAGACCTGGTTGGATCCAGACCTGGTTGGATCCAGACCTGGTTGGATCCAGACCTGGTTGGATCCAGACCTGGTTGGATCCAGACCTGGTTGGATCCAGACCTGGTTGGATCCAGACCTGGTTGGATCCAGACCTGGTTGGATCCAGGCCAGGTTGGATCCAGGCCTGGTTGGATCCAGGCCTGGTTGGATCCAGGCCTGGTTGGATCCAGGCCTGGTTGGATCCAGACCTGGTTGGATCCAGACCTGGTTGGATCCAGACCTGGTTGGATCCAGACCTGGTTGGATCCAGACCTGGTTGGATCCAGACCTGGTTGGATCCAGACCTGGTTGGATCCAGACCTGGTTGGATCCAGACCTGGTTGGATCCAGACCTGGTTGGATCCAGACCTGGTTGGATCCAGACCTGGTTGGATCCAGACCTGGTTGGATCCAGACCTGGTTGGATCCAGACCTGGTTGGATCCAGACCTGGTTGGATCCAGACCTGGTTGGATCCAGACCTGGTTGGATCCAGACCTGGTTGGATCCAGACCTGGTTGGATCCAGACCTGGTTGGATCCAGACCTGGTTGGATCCAGACCTGGTTGGATCCAGACCTGGTTGGATCCAGACCTGGTTGGATCCAGACCTGGTTGGATCCAGACCTGGTTGGATCCAGACCTGGTTGGATCCAGACCTGGTTGGATCCAGACCTGGTTGGATCCAGACCTGGTTGGATCCAGACCTGGTTGGATCCAGACCTGGTTGGATCCAGACCTGGGGCACCTTGAGCATCAAAGACACCAAGGAGCCTCCCAGGAGGAGGAGCTTTCACTCTCCTCTCCCCATCTTCCTTGTCGCCCCCCCCACCCTCCTCTCGTGAATGGCAGGAAATGGAACCCAAGAAGCGGCTGGGGTCGAGACACATGGGAGGCTACCCTCGCTTCAAAGCCCACCCTTTCTTCCGAGGCATCCCCTGGGGGGAACCAGGTCTCGGGCAGCTAGGAGTCTCCTCTGCCAATAACGAAGTGAATCAAGCCAAGGGAGAAGGGGAGGGTTCGAGTGTGCTCTTCTCGTCCCCGGCGCCCGTGCTGGCTGTTCCGGTTAGGCTGGCTGGGAATGATGGGCTGAGGGGTCATGGGTTGAGTGACGGTGATGGGTTTGGGGGTGGGGTGAAGGACGGAGGAGAGGAGGGGCATGAGGGGGAGGAGAAGGAGGAGGAGGAGGAGGATGAGTGGGCTGTGTTGCATCTAGGGGGATCGTTTGCGGGAATGAAGGTGAATTCAGGTGCACGGGTTGCGTGAAGAGCAATAGGGGAGGAGAGTTGGAGTGTGCATTTCTCGTCCCAGGCCCCGGTGCTTGCTGGCAGTGCCGGTTAGTCTGGCTGGGAATGATGGGTTGAGGTGGTCACGGGTTGAGCAATGGTGATGGGTTTGGGAGTGGGGTGAAGGAGGGAGGAGAGGAGGGGGAGGAGAGGGAGGAGAGGAGGGGGAGGAGAGGGAGGAGGAGTATGAGTGGGCTGTGTTGCATCTCGGAAAATCCTTTGCTAAAATGAAGGTGAAATCAGGGCCAAGGGATGTGTGACGAGCAATGTGCGGAAGAGGGGAATGAGGAAGGTGGGGACGAGGTGGAGGATGAGTGGGCTGTGTTGCATCTCGGGGGATTGTTTGCTAAAATGAAGGTGAAATCAGGGCC